TGATAATATTTTGAATAAATCCTAGTGCAAAACAGTTGTACCTCAATATCTTATATCATATTCTGTGAAATATTTAGTGGATTATTTCTTTCAAACTAACTGACAAGTTTATAAAACAGTCTCAGCTTCTGATTCCTTGTTATTTACATTATAAATTGGTAAGCTTTCATTCAGACATAATACAAGAATTTGAATAACTTACACATATTTCAAACATAAATCAATTCCAATGCTTGTTAAAGAAACAATATCATAGTACATTGCTTTATTTGACTAACAGTACTGTTATAGTGATTTTTTTTCAACATAAAAATTGTCATTGGTATAATGTTGCATTGTTTGCAAAATAGCAAGTAAAAGTAATGGACTTATTTTGGTTTTACGAAAATGAAATTACCGTAACTCAAAATAAATTTATTATAAATAATTATTGTCATACAATATATTATGATTGTATCATAGTTTGGAGACTTTTGAAAACAATTCAGAGTTAAATTGCATACCAATACATGCACATTGCTTTAACTCACTGTCAGTCTGGAGCTTGCTTGTTAACTGGTTCATTTTTTCTGGTTTTTACATATTGTGACGACAGGGAAGGAGATAACAGTAGAAAAGTCATATTCAGATGCTTATACATTTGGTACTTTTTTCTTGGATGACTGGGAATGTGTTGTTTTTTTTTGCCTAAGATACAAAAGAAAAAGAACATCAAAACAAATGGCAATCTGATTTATACTCTCATACAAATCCGACAGCCTCGTGTTTCGATGCTTTTTTAATTACTAAATATTAAAATAACTTAAAGAAATTATACAATTATTACTCAATTCTTTATTTGGTTTTAAACTTACACGAATTACTTTTATAACTTACATGTATTACTATTGGAATATTTTCATGTTTTGTCAAAGGCAAATTGTATAAATTAATATTGTACTACAATTTATTTACGTTACAAGACAATGTCTGACTAGATATGTGAACAAATTTTTCTTTGACATCATATTGTAAACAGTAAGTTTAGATACATATACATATGTATAGACAAAAGTATTACAATATATTCTAACACGACCCACATTTTTCCCTATTGAACATAGAAAAACCGAAAGTGTGTGTTATTATGCAATAAAATCACTGTTTGACGTTCTATATGTAGACATGTGATGTAATCATTATACACCTGACGTAACCACTAAAGATGTGACGCGCCGACAATAAGTACGGAAACAAATCAGGCGCAATTTAGCTAACTACCATGTACGGCAGCATCTATTTGTTGATGTCGTGTTAGAATCAAAATAATATATCCAAATCGGTGATTTTATTGCTTGTCATTCGGATGCTGATCATTATATATAATTCCCCGCATCCGAACTCCAAACAGTGATGTTATTGAGCAATAAAATCACAGTTTGGGATATATTATTTCTTAAATAAAAGGTGTTTATATGTGTAGATAATTAAGATAATATATCCCAAACTGTGATTTTATCGCTCAATAAAATCACTGTTTGGAGGTGGGATGTGTGGAATTACGAGGGAGTAGCCCGAGTGATATAATGATGCACATTCAATCAACAGTGATTTTATTAAGTGATAAAATCACCAATTTGGATATATTATTTTGATTCTAACACGACATCAACAAATAAAATTTTAATGCTGTACCTTATATACATGTATAGCTAAATTGCGCCTGTTTGTTTCCGTACTCATTTTCAGCGCGTCACATTTTTAGTGGTTACTTTGCTTGTATAATGATTACGTCATTTGAGCCGCGTCACGACAAAACCAACATAATGGGTTTGCGACCAGCATGGATCCAGACCAGCCTGCGCATCCGCGCAGACTGATCAGGATCCATGCTGTTCGCTATCAGTTTCTCTACTTGTAAAGGGGTTGTTAAGCGAACAGCATGGATCCTGATCAGACTGCGCGGATGCGCAGGCTGGTCTGGATCCATGCTGGTCGCAAACCCACTATGTTGGTTTTGTCATGACACAGCTCATTTGTCTTAATATAGAATGTCAAACAGTGATTTTACTGCATAATAACTCACACTTTCGATCTTCTATGCTCAATAGGGAAAAATGCGGGTCGTGTTCGAATATTAAGTAAAATATGTTATTGACCCTTTGTTTTCTGTTAGATAAAAGTAAATTATCAGATATATTCTATCTGCTATTTAAAATCATTCTTAAAGATGTTAATCTCTTCCTCAGCTGTATGTGCGTTTGTGTGCACACCTGTGAATTTTATTGGGGTGGGGGGATTGCATTTTGTAATTGTTATTATTTGCAGGCCTTATTTTTTTCTCATTTAATTACTGACTGATTTATATCATAATAAACAATGAAATTTGGGACTGTAAAGAGTTGTAAGAATAGCATGAGCTTAGAAGCTTAGAACATCTATTATCATCTTTCTCATACTTTTGGCTTAATAGTAAAGAAGATCCTGGATAATGCTTAAATAATATAATTTGTACACAAAAGCACATCCTGGAAATTATCTAAGTTTTCAAATTAAGAAAAGCCTATGTATAGAATAGATGTAAAATAAAATGAGAGTGTTCTCATTTTCTAAAGGCTTATATTAACATCTTAGATGGTTTTGTCATTATGTAAGTTTACATTTTGAACTTTGATTCTTGCAAAAACAAACATATTTGGTACTTATGATGGGTTTGACAATCTGAACTGTGTGTCACATGGAAAAAAATATTATATATAAAGTGAATTTCTTTAAAAAAAATCATTTGACTGAAATTTTATTTTAAAAACATAAAATTTGAAGGTTTTTCACTGAAATATCCAGGCCATATGTTAAATTAGTTCATAGTAAACACAACTAAGCTTGGATCTGTTCATTTGACCCATTACATTTATCAGAATTTAAAGCAAAAATTTAGTTACAACCCTTTCGCACCAAATCATTTTTTGAATTTTTTTATTTTTTTGGTGCGAAAGGGTTGTAACTGAAACTTTATCAATTATCTCTTTATGCTGACAAAATAAAATAACCTTTCCAATCAATTATATATCAGTAAATGAATGAAAGCCAAAAACCAAAATTAAAGAAGTATTTATTAGAACGTAAAAGAATAAATAAGTTTTTTGTCTCTCCTGAATAATTTCAAAATATTGAGTTACAACCCTTTCGCACCAAGGCATCGATACATTATTTATGCAATTTACAAAGACACACTATGTTACAACTCTTTCCAGAATCAACAGTAAGTTTATGGAACTATCTATCTATAGTATATGTTTAAAGAGGGTCCAGATTCTGCCCGATAGGGCACAAAAAGCAGCTTGCGCTGTCGAGTACAGACCCCGGACATGTCACCAGTCATGCCCTTAAAGTATGTTATAATCTAAAGTGGTGACCTATTTGACTGGAATTCAGTAATTCACTGAATGAGCCCAAATAAAATGTAAAATGTTTTAGATTTTATTAATGAAATAATACACGGGAGGCCAATGAGACCATTGTGTGCATTATGTTGCTTAGCTAAAGAATGTGTTGCTGCCTAAAATAAAGGATCAAGAAGCGGACTGGTAAATATTATGGAAACACATTATTTTACCATTTATAATACTGCATGTTTGTAATGTCCCATTTCATTGGGTAATAGTGACGTTTGTATAGATGTTAAAAATAAAGCATGTTTGTAACATTGCTTTTCATTGGCTAATCATGATGTTTATATAGTTTTATGGACATTGTGCTGTGAATTTATGAAGAAATCTCTTTTCTTCTTTTTAAAAAAAGGAAGTTTGCAGTAGTACAAAAACATTATAAAGGTTCTTGACATGTTATATGGCTGTATATAAACAGTTGTTTCCAATATAACCCTCGCCTAGTGGCTACTGTTAAATATACAAACAACCATTTATATAGGGCCATAATTATATTACCTGTCAAAAATCTTCATCACTAATATTATAAATTAAAAAAAAAAAATCATTAGATATCTTACCATCTTATCATGAAAAAATTCTGTAATATACATTTGTACTTGACTGGCTTTGAAATTTGAACAGTTTGTTTGAATTATAAATAAATTTATAAACAAAATACAAAAAAATTGAGCTGCCAACAGCAGATACTGATAGCCAGCTCAGATGGCATAGAAGTGCAGGTCGGACAGACTGTAGACTGGTGGCAAAGGTTTTATCACTTTCTGTGACCTGGCTGTAGACTGGTGGCCAAGGTTTAATACTTTCTGTGGCCTGACTGTAGACTGGTGGCAAAGGTTTATAACTTTCTGTGGCCTGGCTGTAGACTGGTGGCCAAGGTTTAATACTTTCTGTGACCTGGCTGTAGACTGGTGGCCAATGTTTAATACTTTCTGTGGCCTGACTGTAGACTGGTGGCAAAGGTTTATAACTTTCTGTTGGCCTAGCTGTAAAGTTGTAAACTGGTGGCAAAGATTTATCACAGATGTAGACTGGTGGTAAAATTTATCACTTTATGTTGGCCTGGTGGCAAAGGTTTATCACTTTCTGTTGGCCTAGCTGTAAACTGGTGGCAAAGATTTATCACAGATGTTGACTGGTGGTAAAAATTTATCACTTTATGTTGGCCTGGTGGCAAAGGTTTATCAATTTCTGTTGGCCTGGCTGTAGACTGGTGGCAAAGATTTATCACAGATGTAGACTGGTGGTAAAATTTATCACTTTATTTTGGACTGGTGTCAAAGGTTTATCACTTTCTGTTGGCCTAGCTGTAAACTGGTGGCAAAGATTTATCACAGATGTAGACTGGTGGTAAAAATTTATCACTTCATGTTGGCCTGGTGTCAAAGGTTTATCACTTTATGTTGGCCTAGCTGTAAACTGGTGGCAAAGATTTATCACAGATGTTGACTGGTGGTAAAAATTTATCACTTTATGTTGGCCTGGTGGCAAAGGTTTATCAATTTCTGTTGGCCTGGCTGTAGACTGGTGGCAAAGATTTATCACAGATGTAGACTGGTGGTAAAATTTATCACTTTATGTTGGACTGGTGTCAAAGGTTTATCACTTTCTGTTGGCCTAGCTGTAAACTGGTGGCAAAGATTTATCACAGATGTAGACTGGTGGTAAAAATTTATCACTTCATGTTGGCCTGGTGTCAAAGGTTTATCACTTTATGTTGGCCTAGCTGTAAACTGGTGGCAAAGATTTATCACAGATGTAGACTGGTGATAAAAATTTATCACTTTATGTTGGCCTAGCTGTAGACTGGTGGCAAAGGTTTATCAATTTCCGGTTTCAGCAGGTTAAGGATAAAAAATGTTCACATTTCATTTGTTCTGAAAGAAAGTTACTTATCCTTTAAAAATCTTCGTAAAATTTTTCCGCTTGCAGTTTTTGGAATTTGGTCAATAAATTCCACTCCTCCTCTAAGTTTTTTGTATGGTGCAACATTTTCTGGGAAAAAAAAGATCAATCTAAAATCAATAAATGGCAAACAAATAAAAAATTCTTATTACTGAAAAATGATGATAAACTAGAGAAAATCAAACAAAATCTTAGCCATTATTTAGTACAGTTGCTGCAGAAAAACCCTAAATAAGCATGTTCATTGACACCAAATTACCTTATTGTGTCACAAAAGTTGCTATTTTTTTTTAACGCCTTTTCAAATATATTCATATCTTTTTTTTAACAATTATCTTAAACGTAAAGGTAAGTAAAAACAACAAAGAACATCTTACTTTCAACAAATAACGTGACATCTTCTGCTTCTAATTTTTCTCCAGGCTTGGTCACAACGAATGCTCTTGGCACCTCGCCAACATCTTCCCCGGCTTGAAGTCCTACGACAGCAGCATCTTGTATAGAGGGATGGGTACACAACAGGGCCTCTAATTCAGCTGGGGCCACCTGAAGGGAACATACAAATAAATTTAACACATAAATGTTGAAGAAAAAATCAGCTCAAAAATTTAATTTTCATGAAAGTCAAACAAAACAATAGTTATCAGTTTTCATGAATAGTAAAATTAATGGTCTTAGATAACAAGTGGTCTTTTTAAAGATCATAAATTACTCTAGAATTGAGAAAGACCTTTGGCACTAATCTGACTGTAAACCAATATTTCATATATCAATTTTCGTGCACACATTTTTCTTAAAAGTGCTTTTAGAGAAATATGAAGATTTGAGATTGGGTTTTACGTCACATCAACACAGTATAGGTAGGTCATTAGGCAAATTTCCAGCTTTACAGCTGGAAGAAGACCTCAGGGGCCCCTCTGTGTATTATTTTAAGACCATCTGAGTAAAACCACCGATGTTTCGTAAGCTATCTGGACAGCTTTCTCCCATGAAGAAACCCTTTCCCAGCATGGACCTACAGCAGCTGGCCTAGCTCTATACTGGTAGCAATGGCTGATCACTTTCAGACCCAGCAGGCTACGGGTTAAGTCAAGGGCACCATGTTATATCCTCACCATTCTGTTTATAATACCATCAGTCAGCTGTAGGAGAACCTAAGAGGTGCTATCATGCAATTGTTTCAGACATAAACAAGGAAATATCAAGAACTGTTACTGTTACTAACTACTGTTAGTTTAGCATAATAACTAGTGTGCCACTGAATTGCTTGTACATATAGTCAAATCAATGAACAAACCAACTCAAAAGAGAGACTGAATGTGGTCTTTATGGACAAGTGGCCATTATCTGGAGGTTACCCTATTCTATTTAAAGTAACTTTCTTGAAATATGGCCCATATCTTCATGGTGGTCTTTATTTGGAGGTGTTTTTTAACACAGGTTTGACTGTATCTACTCTAAAACTGAAAATTCTCAAAACCATTTGAATAATACAGGATGGAGTAAATAGTACTGATCAAGGGGGTAAATTATTTGAAGAAAATCATGTCCACCTGGTAGCCTTTATACTTGTTAAATTCCCCTTAAATTTCCCTGTAGATATAGTAAAAAAAAACCTTCTAAAACCCACATGCCCAATTTAATCTCTGAAATAAAAAAATGGAAAAATTGCCCTCCGAGTAACAAAGTAAAAAAAATTTCCCTTTAACCCATCTTTTTAAAAATTAAAGGGGGAGTGTTATAATTATTAAATATTACACAAGAGGGCCTTGATGGCCCTGACATTGCTCTCCTGATTATACAACCCTTCATGACAAGGAACAAGTAATATTGTAAACTATAGACAAAAGCAGATCTAAAACCTAAATATTAAACTGATATCACAAAATTCATATTTGTATCTGAAATAGCTCATGTGTAAAAACATTACTGATTGCTGTTGCTAAGGAAAAACAACAGTTCCAAAAGATGTGCTCATATAAGGAAAATCAATGACCCAAGAGCTTTTATTTGAACAAACTTGGTAGACACTCACTAGAAGATGTTTCAATATCTAACCTATAGTTCTTGGGTTTTTTAAAAGAAGATTTTTTTTAAATTTTTTTCTTTTGGTTGCCATGGCAACCAGAGTTCTGCCTAGAATTAAATTCTTTAAACAAATTTTAAAGGTGACTACCAAATGAACATAGCTGAGAAGTTTGGATGAAATTGGCCTAGCTGTTTATGAGGAGATGTTGTTTAAATTTAAGTTTACAGACAGAAGCTGGACTAATTGTGATCACAAAAGATCATCTTGTCCACTTTGTAACAGGTGAGCTAATAAATGAAAGTTGAAAAACTCTTTCAACACCACGAATGTTAAGGGATTATCAAAAAATAAATTTTGAACTTTCTCAGTTTGTCTTAAGAGCGCAATATTTGCATTAAGAGGATCATTTTTTGGTGTTTCCCTCTTGGTGGAATTGCTTCATACACATTTGGGACTGTAATTTTCATTCCTATTTGATTTCATCAAAATCGAATGAGTAGATAAGAAAGATATGCCATATAATTTTTATTTCTACATTAAGCTAGCAGGCTATATATAGCTAGCAGGCTATATATAGCTAGCAGGCGATATATAGCTAGCAGGCTATATATAGCTAGCAGGCGATATATAGCTCGCAGGCGATATACAGCTAGCAGGCGAAATAGAGCTAAGCAGGCGATATATAGCTAGCAGGCGATATATAGCTAGCAGGCGATATATAGCTAGCAGGCGATATATAGCTAGCAGGCGATATATAGCTAGCAGGCGATATATAGCTAGCAGGCGATATATAGCTAGCAGGCAATATATAGCTAGCAGGCGATATATAGCTAGCAGGGTATATATAGCTAGCAGGCGATATATAGCTAGAAGGTGATATATAGCTAGCAGGTGATATATAGCTAGCAGGCGATATATAGCTAGCAGGCGATATATAGCTAGCAGGCGATATATAGCTAGCAGGTGATAAGCTAGCAGGCGATATATAGCTAGCAGGCGATATATAGCTAGCAGGCGATATATAGCTAGCAGGCGATATATAGCTAGCAGGCGATATATAGCTAGCAGGCGATATATAGCTAGCAGGCGATATATAGCTAGCAGGCGATATATAGCTAGCAGGCGATATATAGCTAGCTAGCAGGTGATATATAGCTAGCAGGTGATATATAGCTAGCAGGCGATATATAGCTAGCAGGCAATATATAGCTAGCAGGTGATATATAGCTAGCAGGTGATATATAGCTAGCAGGCAAAATATAGCTAGCAGGCAAAATATAGCTAGCAGGCCATATATAGCTAGCAGGTGATATATAGCTAGCAGGCCATATATAGCTAGCAGGCAATTTATAGCTAGCAGGCGATATATAGCTAGCAGGTGATATATAGCTAGCAGGCAATATATAGCTAGCAGGTGATATATAGCTAGCAGGTGATATATAGCTAGCAGGCGATATATAGCTAGCAGACGATATATAGCTAGCAGGCGATATATAGCTACCAGGTGATATATAGCTAGCGGGTGATATATAGCTAGCAGGCAAAATATAGCTAGCAGGCGATATATAGCTAGCAGGCTATATATAGCTAGCAGGCGACAATCTTGTTCAACAGACAGCAATAAGTTTCCGCACTCTTTATGTGAAGTTGCGCCTAAAAATTATTCCTATTGAATTTAATCAAAACTTGCCTAGCAGTTGAGGAGAAGATGACACTGTCCTTTAAAGATAATTTCTAATTTTTAACTCTGGCTGCCATCTTCTTCAGCAGACCTAAAAGATTTCAGCCATTTTTGTTTAAAATCACCTACTGATCTGTCATCATGCCCGTGAAGTTCCATCAAAATCTACCAAGTGGTTGAGATGGACATGTCATTAAAGATTTACATGTATTTACTCTCACAAATATCTTGCTGATCAAAGCAAATTTAAAAAATATCATTTTGAAAACTCTTATAATCATGAGTAGAGATTGATAAAAATCTTTCCAAGCAATTTAGGAGATGAGCTTCAAAGGTCATTTTTATGTTTTGCTCTGGAGGCATTTTTGTTCAATTTACCAGAACTCTTGAAGCTATTTTTGTAAAAGACCACCTAATGATCAATCCTTATATCACAAACTCGACGTTCAGAAAAAATAAAACAATCAAGAATTATTCAACTTTCTGAACCTGTATATAGCCAGCCATCTTTATCAATGGTTTTATCTGTAGCCTCCTTGTTTTTCAGGTATCCCAACATGACTTGTGGTCCCTTGATAAGAATTTCCCCAGTTTCACCAACGTCCAAAACTTCCCCAGACATGGGGTCTATAATCTGAAATATATGTGACAAGTATGACGAATTTAATTTAAACTAAATAGCAAATCATATTTGACATACATAAACTTGAAAAACTAACTTCTCACAATCACTCATGTAATTCAGTAAACAGATTAAAAACAGTGGCTTCAAGGCCTTCTGCAGTTTTTGATAAGATCTTGTATGCAAAATTTTGCCCAGAAATTCGTTCGGATATGTTTTGGATAGCTCCAGTATTCTTTGAATAGTCAAGCTAAAAAGCAAGAAATGTTCTGCTGAATGACTGAGCTTCTTTTTCTATTTTAAGGCACAGTGACCTTGACCTTTAAGATGACTTCATAGTTTTTGAGTCATGTAAAAACTTACTGACCTATCACGTACAAAAGTTGTAACACACATAATTATACATACATGCTAACCAGTAATTATATCATTCAAAATATTAATGACACGGGTATAGAAAAAACGAACCTTGGCTTTGGTGCTTGGAACAAGTGTGCCTATAGTTCCTCTTTTATGAGGGTACTCATCGTAATGTGTCAAGGGACTGCACTCTGTCAAACCATATGCTATAAAGTAAAATAAAACCATGGGTTTCTGACCTTAAGTAACTGAGAGAAAAGAATTTTCACATTTAAGTTTTTTTCACATTTTAACTTTCTTTTTTGACCAAAGTTGAGTGTTTTTTTTTTACCTAACTTTACTTTTTTTTGACCCCAAGTTAACTTTTTTGGCCTAACTTTACTTTTTTTTTTTTACCCAAGTCAACTCTGTTGTTCTAATTACTTTTTTACCAAAGTTAACTTTTCTTATCCAAGTTTACTTTTTGACCAAAGTTAACTTTTATGATCTAACTTTACTTGTTTTATCTTAGTAACTTTGACCTTATAGTCCTTATATAATTATTTTACATAGTTACAAGCCTTCATAGTAATATATCCTTCCTTATACAAGTTATTAAACAGTTACCATTTTTCTTCAGGAGGAAACTATTGTTAAATTGCTGCTTAAATCATGATGCAGGTTGGGTTTTTTAGAGTTAACTAATATTTAAATACTTCTCGTTCATATAAGGCAATTATTTTAACTGAACATAAAAGGAAATTTAACTGAACATAAATGGTAATTTATCTATACATTGTATTATCAAAGGCAATTTTCCTCCCTATAAATGGAGCGTTCCTTCTTAATTGTAGTTATCACTTTCAAACCACTGTTCTGAGCAACCAGGTCCACATGTTTATAAATACTCCTCAGACATTCAGCCCTCCATAAATATTAAATCACCATTTTAAAAACTGTAACCATTGTCCGGTTAGCTCAATAGGTAGAGCATTGGACTGTGAATCAGACGGCCAAGGTTCGATCCCAGATGGCGCAGGTTACTTTCATTGTGATTAATCATGAAATCATTTCTACGGTCATTTGCACTACACCTCTGCTCTAGCATGTACAGAACTTATCAGTTCTTTGCAAAAATGAAGACAACTAGTACTGGTAAACTGCTTGACAGCCTGCCCAGGAACGATGCCGTGGCTGAAACTGATCTCTGGTAAATTCAATGTGGCTTACTGCTGTGATCTAGAATGAAAACTACTAACAACACCAGCACCACACCACCATCTAAAACAACAATTGAGCTGCATCACGACAAAACCAACATAGTGCGACCAGCATGGATCCAGACCAGCCTGCCCATCCGCGCAGTCTGATCAGGATCCATGCTTTTCGCTATTAGTTTCTCTACTTGTAATAGAGTTGGAAAGCAAACAGCATGGATCCTGATCAGACTGCACAGATGCGCAGGCTGGTCTGGATCCATGCTGGTCGCAAACGCACTATGTTGGTTTTGTCGTGACGCAGCTCAATTTACCTTGAAGAAGATGAACCTTTAAACGCTCCTCAAGCTCATGTGTTACTCCGATGCCAAGAGGTGCCGCTGCACTGATCACGGTTCTCACAGTTTTCATACTAAAATCATCCACCATAGGGTGTTTTGCCAAGAATAAAACAACAGGTGGAACCAGATGGCAGTATGTTACCTGCAAATAAAACATGAATGCTTAAATCATTTTTTTTGAGGGGGAACAAACTGGGTAACCTCATCTATTTCAAATTGTTTTTACAATTATACATATATTGTATCATAGTTTGGGGACCTTTCTGTTGAAAATGTGTCAAAGTTAAATCGTATACATATACATTCACAGTGCGTTAACTGGAGTGCAGATATTAGTTACCCGCACTCCAGAGCATGTCCATTGATTGGTTCATTTTTGCTGGGGCTCACTTATTATGACGGCAGAGAAAGGGAAAGCGCCAGAAATATCATATTCAGATGCTCGTTCATTGGTTACTTTTTCCCGGGGTTTCATATTGTGACAACAGGGAACGTGTTTTTATGTTTGACTATGATACAAAAGAAAAAGAACATCAAAACACTCGGCATTCTGATTAATACTCGGGGGCTACACCCCCTTGTACAAATCAGATAGCCTCGTGTTTCGATGCTCTTTCTATTACATAGTACATCATGACATCAAGATATGTAATTTACTGATAAATTTGAGTATAAAAGCTATATTTTTGCTGGTTGTTGTTTAAAAAAACCAACAATATTTTATCAAATTATGAATGTTTAAATCTTATTTTTCCATTATATGATGGGTTTTAATTTACATAAACACTGTAAGACTCATATGGCAATTTTCAATTTCCTATAGCTGGTTTAGTTTGATATTTGCTCACTATTTGTCCTGAAAAAGAAGTTTGTAAATTTGTCTATATATGATAGTCAAGGCTGGCCTAACTTATTACAAGTTACCAAAGTTTCTAGTACAGAGATGGTCTTTTCCCACAGGTTGCACTGTTCTTTTAAAAGAAAAATAGTCATACATACTTTTTATCAACAAACTTGGGTAAGAAAAGACTGATAAATACAAGAAAATTATTTAAACAAGCAATAATCTATACATTTTACAAAATTCATATATATTATTTTCTTCCTGGAAATAAATTGAAATAAAACCTAAACAAAACACAAGTAATTTTTTCAAACAATTGAGCCGTGTCACGACAAAACCAACATAATGGGTTTGCGACCAGCATGGATCGAGACCAGCCTGCCCATCCGCGCAGTCTGATCAGGATCAATGCTGTTCGCTTACAGACCCTATAACAAGTAAAGAAACTGCTAGGGAAAAGCATGGATCCTGATCAGACTGCGTGGATGCGCAGGCTGGTCTGGATCCATGCTGGTCGCAAAACCACTATGTTTTGCTGGTCTGGATCCATGCTGGTCGCAAAACCACTATGTTGGTTTTGTCATGATGCGGCTCAATTTAATAACAGAGCATAACACATTAAAACTTAAATCAAGAGCAACTATTTAAGCAATGAACTACAAGAGCTGTCTGTAGGACAGCATGCTCAACTATTCTTAGAGCTTGACAGTAAAATACAAGAGCCTGCATAATGTAGAAATTTCTAAGCTCAAAATTGAGACCATAACTCTGTCAAAATCCATGTTAGAGTTATGGGCCTTGTATAGTGATCTTCTATGATGCTATTAAACAAGTGTCTTTAGTTTCTCCCTATTTTCTATAGTAGTTTTGGAGATAACAACTGGCACGCAAAAACTTAACTGTGTGAAGCGTACAATAACTTTCCCTCTATTCTTTGAATAGACAAGCTAAAAATGACAAGGATTCAAAAGTTCAAGTGCAAGTCTCTCTACTAAATTAATTTCCCCTATTGATTCCTTTCATAACATCATTCATACAATAACCAGCAAAAAACAACAAACAGCAAAGAAGGAAAATAAATACTGAAGATCTACTGTGAAATCATTATTATTCGTGGGGCACGAATTTTCGTGCTTTTTGTGGATAGGTCAATCCACGAATTCTAAGACCCGACAAAATTTTATTCCAACAAATACTTCTTACCATGTCACTGTTCCATTTATCACAACATGCATTGGCGCTTTTCCCGCTGATTTCTGTTATATGAATGAATACTAATAATCAGGTCAGTGACAAATTTAATCCATACATAGTTTAGTTTTGCAATATTTAAGAAAATTGAAAGAAAAATCGATTGTATGCCTTCAGTTTGCTGTCACAAATGTTCGTCGCATATAAACATCAGGGGACTACTTGACCGTTGTAGGCTACTTGATCGTGTTAGCCAGAAGAATTACGGACATTTCGGACCATGGACGTTTCGGACCATGGACGTTTCGGACCAGATTTTTTGGTCATTTCGGACCAGATTTTGGGACATATCGGACCATGTGATGGTCATTTCGGACCATGATGGGGACACTCCGGACCAGAACATATATTCCTTTTTATATGTATTAATATTTCGATCATAATTCATTTATGAATTTCTATACGCTGACAATGTTTTATTATTGAAAAAAAACCCCAAAAAAAACAATAATAGCCATCGAAGTTGGTCATATCAAAATAAATAAAATCTAAATTGGGATAGGTGTAAAAACTTCACATGGTGTCTCATATATTCTAATATTACACTTTAGTTTATAGAATAATTGATGCATAATATATAAAAAAATGATATTTATTCTGGTCCGAAATGTCCAAAACACATTATCCCAAATGTCCAACACATGGTCCGAAATGTCCAAAACAGTGGTCTGAAGTGTGTAATGCATGATCCGAAATGTCTAACACATGGTCCGAAATGTCCAAAAATCTGGTCCGAAATGTCCCTAAATATAGTCCGAAGTGTCCCAAAATCTGGTCCGAAATGTCTGGTCCGAAACGTCCTATTACCAGCCAGAATACGTAAGATAATCGAGTAAATATGGGAACCCAGTGCATTAATTAGAGCGGATAAAACTTTACACTACTAATGTTTATATGATTCATTTATATATTTGTGTGACTGCTATTCCGTATTATTATTATGTAACTGTATTGAGCCACTTACTCGAATTAATTTATATGCATATAAATTTACACAGTCGATGTGGCGTAGTGTGTAGTTTTGGACCGATTCTGAGTGTGTAAACTTTTTTACTCGCTGGTTAAAAAGTGGCAGATGCCGTATAATTTATGCGATGTTTAAATTGGCGAATTATAGGAACAGTGTTACCATCATGTCACACAAACATGTTTATTGCAGTCAATTATCGGCAGTAACTGTGTTACTCCCAGATGCAAGGATTAAATTTATTGACAAGAGCTGTGTTATATATACACACGGTAAGTAAAACAGTGCGGTGATTAACTGAAAGATTACATTCCATTACTTATAATTTTTTACAAGAAAATGAAATTCCATGAATTTAACAACCAACAAAAATGCCTGTTTTGATAAAACCACGAAATTTCATGCCCACGAAAACAAATGATTTCACAGTATATGAGACTCCAGGTGCCTGACTTTATTTTATAGATCTGAAGTTTCCTGTCTGGTACCTCACCAAGTTTTATAAACCTCAAGATAAAAAGACTGGTGCCAGACCTCATTTTATAGATCTGAAGATTTCTGACTGGTACCTGACCAAAAGTTTATAAATCTGAAGATATTAGACTGCTGCTAGACCTCATTTCATAGATCTGAAGATTCCTGACTGGTACCTGACCAAAAGTTTATAAATCTGAAGATACTAGACTCAGGTGCCAGACCTCATTTCATAGATCTGAAGATTCCTGACTGGTACCTGACCAATAGTTTATAAATCTGAAGATACTAGACTCAGGTGCCAGACCTCATTTCATAGATCTGAAGATTCCTGACTGGTACCTGACCAAATGTTTATAAATCTGAAGATACTAGACTGATACCAGACCTCATTTCATAGATCTGAAGATTCCTGACTGGTACTTGACCAAATGTTTATAAATCTGAAGATACTAGACTGATACCAGACCTCATTTCATAGATCTGAAGATTCCTGACTGGTACCTGACTAAATGTTTATAAATCTGAAGATACTAGACTGGTGCCATGATATATAATGCCTTGCATCCAAACTGCAAACAGTGATTGTATTTAGCGATACAAATGACTGTTGAGGATATATTATTTCTTAAATTAAATCTGGCCCACATGGATGAACAGTTAAAAAGGTCAGACATGTTGTTTCCTTGTGCATGAAACATTACTCTTATTGCTAAGTACTGGCTGGTTACAGGAACAAATTCAAGAGTGTGTCTATAAGCCTAAAGCTTCCTTTACAATCAAATTAAAACAAGAGCCATGTCAACATGGCCATCCCCCGCCGAATGTGTTTGCTCATTGGAAGAATGTATATGTAGTAGAGCAGAATAATTCCATTTTAAGAGGTCTTTTGGTAATGAAAACTGATGGCTATAGTGATTACAGATTTGAAACCTATGTGAATACTGATGGCTGAAAATAACAAAGGCCAATAACTGAAAAATAATGCAGGGTAGGTTATCATTCTTGTGTGCTGCATCCCTCCTCAGTAAAATCTATCCACCTATGAAGTTTCAAGTTGATACCTCAAATACTTTTTGAGAAAAAAATTGAATTGAAAAATTAAGTATGAAAAATAACAAAGGGCAATAACTCAAAAATTATAATAGGTACAGTTTATCATTCTTGTGCAGTGCACACCTCCTGAGTGAGATCTATGCACCTCTGAAGTTTCATTTTGATATCTCAAAGGCTTTTTGAGTTATGCTCTGGACAAAAAAATTAATTTTGAAAAATAACAAAGGGCAATGACTCAAAAATAATGCAGGGTAGAGTTATCATTCTTTAGCACTGCACTCCTCCTTAATGAGATCCATCCACCTATGAAGTTTCAAGTTGATACCTCAAATACTTTTTGAGATAAGCTCTGGACAAAATAGCATGAAAAAAACAACAAAGGGCAATAATTCAAAAATTGTATAGGGAAGATTTATCATTCTTGCACACAACATTCCTCCTCAATAAGATCTATCCTTCTATGACATTTCATGTTGATATTTCAAACACTTTTTGAGTTATGCTCCACTCAGGTGAAAAATTAGGTATGAAAAATAACAAAGGGCAATAACTCAAAAATTATGAAAGGAAGAGTTATCATTCTTGTGCACTGCACACCTCCTGAGTGAGATCTATGCACCTATGAAGTTTCATGTTAATAATCTCATAGGCTTTTGGAGTTAATGCTCTGGACAAAAATCAATTTTGAAAAATAACAAAGGGCAATAACTCAAAAAATCATGCAAGGTAGAGTTATCATTCTTGTGCACTGCACTCCTCCTCATGAGGTCTATCCACCTATGAAGTTTCAAGTTGATAACTCAAATACTTTTAGAGATATGCTCCGGACAAAAATTTCGGACGGAAGGACGGAAGGTCGGACTGACGGACGGAGACTATTTCTATATCCTCCGCCGAAAATTTTCGGCGGGGGATAATAAAGACAGTATAAACTTATTCCACATGGGAAATCAGGGCTATTAATAATGAACAAGAGGGCCATGATGGCCCTGAAATCGCTCACATGTATATAGGCCCCAGGGACGGGGCCAATTTTAACCCAGGGACTTTTATTTGAACAAACTTGGTAGACACCCACTAGAAGATGTTTCATGCTTAATATCAAAGCTCTAGCTTTTTGGGCTTTTTAAAAGAAGATTTTTTAGGTTTTTAGCATATACATGTAAGGAGAATCGAATCAATGATCACAAAAGCTCACAAGAGCTAATAAACAAGAGGGCCATGATGGCCCTGAGGTCTCTCACCTGTATATAGGCCCCCAGAGTAGGGCCAGTTTAAACCCCAGGGCTTTTATTTGAACAAACTTGGAAGACACTCATTAGAAGATGTTTCACGATGTTAATTTTAATACACACATATAATGAAAAACAATGATTTCTCCCCCCCCCCCCCCCACAGGGCTAATTTTCACCCGAGGGCTTTTATTTGAACAAACTTGGTAGACACCCATATGCTAAACATCTAAGCTCTAGCTCATTGGGTTTTTTAAAAGAAGATTTTTAAAGTTTTAACTATACACATACAGTTAAAAACAATGACACCCCTGGGGCAAGGCTGCCAGTTTTGACCCCAGGGTTTTTATTTGAACAAACTTTGTCAACACTTACTAGAAGATGTTTCATGCTTAATATCTAAACTCTAGCTATTCGGGTTTTTTCAAAGAAGATTTTT